AGAGAAACATCGATCAGCTGCCTCCTGCACATCTCCTACCAGGGATGTGCCCGCAACCCAGGTACATGCCCTTGACCGGAATCGAACCCGGGACCTTTCAGTCCGCAGGCCGACGCTCTATCTACTGAGCCAAACCGGTTTTGGCGTGATGATAGACTCTTAATTTACTATTTAATAGATAATAAACTGTTATTAAAATGATTAGTTAGTGACTGTTCTAAAGAATTCATGCTATATCCGACACATTTTTGCTTTCCTAAGAGTCTACAATCAATCTATTTGATATTTTGTTTTTAAAACTTAGTAGCTCTTAATCTTTGGTTCTAGAATATACCTCTTTTTAAATTCAGAGTACATTTACCTGTTTTCAGTGGTGTGAATAATTTTGTATGCTCTGTGACTACTTGGTCTTGTTAAAGATGGAAGTTATTTTCATGATGATAGCCATGGTTTTGTGCAATATAATTTGCTGGGTCTATAGGCTAGCACTTTTTTAGAGCTGATTGTTTATTGTTTTAATTAGAAGATTACCTATTGCCATGGAATGTGATAGCATATAAATAGGTAAATATATGAGAAAATGTATAGTATATGTCACAAGTAGGTGTTTCAGTGAATTCCCTTCTTATACCACCTGTCCCAAACAACTGGCCTATCCTTTTTCATAACAGCCCTATCTGCATACATAAGCCTTAGAAATAGGTTATTTCTATGTAACTCCGTTGGTATTATATTTCTTTTCCTTATATGTATTTATTCTTGTCCCAAACAATCTGAAAATACTTCCCATTTGAATGTGTATGCTAGAGATATTTTGGATTAGAATGATAACATTTGATTAATACAAACATGCTCTGTGAGCCTATTGTATAAATATTGAAAGACCCTAACATGAAAATGAATTAACCTCTGACGGTTTCCACTTAAATGTTGGATTATGTTTAACCTATGATGTACTTGAAATTCAGAATTACTTTATAATTTATAAAGATTAATTTATCAAGTGCCCTAGGCTAAGTACTTTACATACAGTATTTCCTATAATTCTCACAACAGTTATGAAATAGGAAATATTTTATGGAGGCAGAAACAGACTTAGGGGCTAAAATATCCTATTCAAGGTTACATAAGAAGGTGGTGGAACTGGGATTTGAACCAGGCCTACCCAGAAACCTATGCTCTTAACTACTTTAAAGGAAACAATTTCGGCATCATTTATGACATCGATTTGTAAGGAATGTGATCCATAGTATGAGGGTCCATTTATCAGTGATGGGAACATCTTTATTGCTGGTCTAAAGGTGGTTTTCAGACTACTACTTTCCTCCCTGCTAGTCTTTGGGATTCACTAGAATAGACAGTTTTCGGAACTTGTTTTACCACCTTACCTTTTACCTTCTTCCCTTTTCTTTGCACAGTGGTTCAGCCTTTCATATATGTAAGTACTGTGAGTTACATATTTAGAATTCCTGCATCACTAGCATTTGTTTTTAAAAAACAATAAAATCATACCCATTTTTATTTATTAAAAGGTAGATTTTTTAAAAAAATACGTTTTGAAAGTAATTAAAATATATATATATCTCATTAAGATAGTTTAAAACAAACTAAGTAGATTATTTAAACAAAATTGTAACAGATTATAAATAAATTATTTGAAATTTTAATAAGCATCTATTATGTTGGAATATTACTTTTGTAGTTTAAAAAAACTAAGTAGATTATTTAAACAAAATTGTAACAGATTATAAATGAATTATTTGAAATTTTAATAAGCATCTATTATATTGCAATATTACTTTTGGGGTCTTTTTTACTTCCTGAATTCTCTCCATGTCCTTGTAAAAAACAAATAAGGAAAATATATTAAATGTTTCTGTGCTTTGGTTATTACATTGCACATATTAAAAGGGAAAATGAATTTTAGTAGAAGGAAAGTTACTAAATTTAATTACTTTTTTGTTTCTTACAGTTAACCTTGCACTTGCACTAGCAGCGAATGATTCGGTAGGTGTTCATTAATAGAATTATTATTTTACTAAAATGTGTTTTAAGCCACTGATAAAGAGCATATTGATGTTTTTCATTTATTCTGTCAAAAGCTATTAATGCTGTTCTAGTCATTTGCATGTCTTTAAGGAACTCAAAAGTCTGCTATAATTACTGGTTATATTTAATAACACTAATGAAAATGAAAGGGGACGACCACTAGTCACAGAATTTAGGCAGCCTCTAGAAGCTAGAAAAGGCAAGGAAATGGATTCTTCCCTAGACCTTCCAAAAGGTATATAATTCTGCCAATATGCTAATATAAGCTCCTTAAACCCGTTTTGGACATCTGTGATAATTTCTTACAGTAGAAATAGGAAACTAGACAGGAAGTCCATTTTCTTAATTTTTGAATTTCCAAATATGTCTTTATTTTGCCTTCATGTTTGATAGCTTGACTAGATGTAGAATTCCAGGTTTAAAATAATTTCCTCTCTAAACCTTGAAAAAAAATTCCATTTTCTTCTAGCATGCTTATGAAATGTCTGATGCTAGTCTGATTCATATTGCTTTGTAATAACCTATTTAACCCCCTCAAAGCTTTTAGAGTTTTCTTTATGTTCTTTGAGTTTAGAAATGTCACAAATATGCATCTAATTGTTGGCTTTAAATTTTTTTACTTGCTTGGAAACTGGCCAAAGAGTATCAAAATTTCAGTTTTTTTGAGCTTAGAGCAAATTTTTTTATTGCTTACTTCTTGTGATGTGTTTGTTCTCTCTCTAGAAACCTATTAGGTAGATACGGATCCTTTATGCCAGTTAATTTTTCTCTCATATTCTCCATCACTTTGTCTTTTGTTTTGTGTTTTAGAAGATGCCTCTACACTGCTATACTAGGTTTTAGTTGTTATTTAGTCCTTCTGATTTTTTAAAAATTCAGAAATTATATTTTTTCCAGTGTTTCAGAACTATTTTTTTATTTTCCAATTGCTGTCCCTACCCACTTAAAAAAATGGTTGTATCATTTGTTTGAATCTTTCTGAGGGTGCTAATTAGAATTAATAAAAAATATTCTCTTTAATGACCTCTATTTACTTAGCATGATGGTTTTCATAATATGGTCCTCAAACCGGCAGAGTCAGCATCACCTGGGAACTTGTTAGACATACAAAATCATCAGCCCCACCTCATACCTACTGAATCCGAAACCCTGAGGGTGGAGTCCTGCAATCTGTTTAAACCAGCCCTCTGGGGTATTTTGATACATGCTAAAGTTTAAGAACCATGTATCTAGAGGTTTTTAAAACTCTAATGTGCAAATGGCACCTTTTTGTTTTCTAATGGGGTTATATATATATATACTAGAGGCCCGGTGCACAAAAATTTGTGCACTTGGGGGGGGGGGGGAGGAAGGG